CACAATGGTCCTGGGAATAATGTTGAAAAATTGCTTTTTTTGAGTAAGCTTCTTTTGATGGACAATATCATAATCCTGCCTCCTTCTCCCAAACACACACACACAACCTAGCTGTAACTTACAAAGATGTAAAAAGAGTGATTTGTATATCATCTTCTAGTACTATGACAGGTTTATCAAGACAAATATACTTAATGTTTTGAGTGTTAGAAAAGTTGTACTATTTTAACTAAACTTAAATTTAAAATTGATTAAATGCAGATCAAACCCTTTTTGAGCAAAGGTTAAACCAGTTTAAATGTATCTGCATTAGGAGGTTGCACTGCTTTAACTCCATTTTAAATCACTTGAGTTAAACCAGCGTAACTTTTTTTACTGCAGACACATATAAACAGTGAATAGTGATCACCATCTTGTGGCTACAACCTGTAATGCTCTAGAGTACAAAGTATTTTGACTGCTTGGTGGATTCTGTCAGAAAGAGAGAGTGAGCTGTGTTCTGACTGTGCTTGGTACTATCGTTAATGAACATCGGGATAGATGAGAAAAATTTGTCAGTAAAATTACAACTGAAGGTTGATTTATAAAAACAGCAGTACGACTGGAATGCCACAAATGTATAGCAATTAGGACAATTTAGTGGTGTAATTTTAGTACAATGCTCTGCAACCTCAGAGATGTAAGGCCAGGGAACATCAGGGATTTAATTTCGTAGCTAAAGTTCCTAGACTGGGAGATCTGTAGAAATAGTGTATTTGATCTCTCTTGGAAAGGCATGTATCATGTTGCTATTAAGTAATCCTCCCATCATCCTTTCCCCAGGCATTGTCTGCCTTTAGTTGGAAGGGTGAGTTGAAATGAAGTTAGGCTCAAGAGTAGTATGGGGATATACATGGGAGGCCATTTTAATTCCCGCACCCAATAAAAAAAAACAGAACAAATAAAAACTTAGACTTTGAGGAAAAGAAGACGGAAAAATTGCAGCCACATGTTTGTGCAAAATGGACTATGTAAAGGAATTTGGTCAAGATATTATTGGAACCTAAATGGTTACTTAGTGCCACGAAGCAAAATCTATCTCTCTACCTTTGCCACCTTTAGTTGAGATGGAAGAATTAGAAATAGAAAGCAGTTACATAAGGGGGAAAGTAAAAGAACCTGTCCCTATTGTACTTATATGGTCATTTATGCAGAGCTATGTGGCCCTAGCAATCCTGCCCATTTTTTGTATTGTATCATAAATTACTTTGTATTTATTTTTCAGGGGATAGGAATTTTTTTAGGTAAAAATATTAATGGTATTGGCACTCTGGTTGTAGCTAATATCCAAGTGAATGTCAGAGAGAATAGATCACATTTTTTCAGTATGTTTAATAAACATTGCAGGATAGCTGGATTCTCTTGGTTTTTACAAAGGGTTCCATAGACACAATGAAACAGACCTCAATTTGGGATTGTCTAAAATTTCTGCCTTGTCTGTTGGAAGAGTCTAGAACTGTCAGCACATTCATGTGATGGTCATCATACGACAGGGGGGGAACTGGGAAAGCAGAGTTTGTATCATTCTTGCACAATCCTAGCAGCCAGTTAAATCTCAACAAACCCACTGCACCAGTGGTGGGCAGCCTGCGGGGTGCACACAGCCCGTCAGGGTAATCCACTGGCAGGATGCCAGACAGTTTGTTTACATTTGCATGGCCACCCGCAGCTCCCTATGGCCGCAGTTTGCTATTCCCGGCCAATGGGAGCTGCAGGAAGCGGCCTGGGCCACAGGGACATGCTGTCCGCCGCTTCCCACAGCTCCCACTGGCCAGGAACGGAGAACTGTGGCCACGGGGAGCTGCGGGCGGCCATGCAAATGTAAATACACTGTCTGGCTGCCTGCCAGCGGATTACCCTGATGGGCTGCGTGTGGCCCGCAGGCTGCGAGTTGCCCACCACTGCTCTACACCATGACATTAATATTACTCAGGCAAGTGCAGAAACTGGAGGACTGAGTGGGGAAAATTTTATCTTCTGGCACTTATCTCCAGTGCTAATGATTCTCTACTGTGCATTTTCTGTCTATTTGTGGTGTTCCCCAATTACTTTAATCAATTCCAAACTCCTAACCTTCAGGGCATGGTGAAGGATTGGGAAATTAACTGAAGGATTGAAACCCAGGTTTCCAGTATAGTATTTCCAAATCTGAAGGCCAGATCAAGCTCTCTTGTACACAGCAAAAGGGGGAGGGGAGAATAAAGGAGCACAAATAACGGCCAAATATGACTAAACATAGAGCACACAGAGCAAAGCTTATGTGACATGCGCGTCCCCCAAATAGAAGGATGTTACACAGTTTGTGTGTAGTATGATGATGATTACCAGAGAAAGAGGGTCGGGTTAGAACAACGCTTCTTCAGCTCTCGTCCCCAAATGCCCCTACTCTACTTGCGCTACATTGATGACATCTTCATCATCTAGACACATGGAAAAGAAGCCCTTGAGGAATTCCACCATGATTTCAATAATTTCCATCCCACCATCAACCTCAGCCTGGACCAGTCCACACAAGAGATCCACTTCCTGGACACTATGGTGCTAATAAGCGATGGTCACATAAACACCACTGTATACCGGAAACCTACTGACCACTATACTTACCCACATGCCTCCAGCTTTCATCCAGACCACACCACACAATCCATTGTCTACAGCCAAGCTCTACGATACAACCGCATTTGCTCCAACCCCTCAGACAGAGACAAACACCTACAAGATCTCTATCAAGCATTCTTACAACTACAATACCCACCTGCTGAAGTGAAGAAACAGATTGACAGAGCCAGAAGAGTACCCAGAAGTCACCTACTACAGGACAGGCCCAACAAAGAAAATAACAGAACGCCATTAGCCATCACCTTCAGTCCCCAACTAAAACCTCTCCAACGCATCATCAAGGATCTACAACCTATGCTGAAGGATGACCCATCACTCTCACAGATCTTGGGAGACAGGCCAGTCCTTGCTTACAGACAGCCCCCCAAGCTGAAGCAAATACTCACCAGCAACCACACACCACACAGCAAAACCACTAACCCAGGAACCTATCCTTGCAACAAAGCCCATTTCCAACTGTGTCCACATATCTATTCTGGGGACACCATCATAGGGCCTAATCACATCAGCCACACTATCAGAGGCTCGTTCACCTGCACATCTACCAATGTGATATATGCCATCATGTGCCAGCAATGCCCCTCTGCCATGTACATTGGCCAAACTGGACAGTCTCTATGTAAAAGAATAAATGGACACAAATCAGAGGTCAAGAATTACAACATTCAAAAACCAGTCGGAGAACACTTCAATCTCTTTGGTCACTTGATTACAGACCTAAAAGTGGCAATTCTTCAACAAAAATCTTCAAAAACAGACTCCAAGGAGAGACTGCTGAATTGGAATTAATTTGCAAACTGGATACAATTAACTTAGGCTTGAATAAAGACTGGGAGTGGATGTGTCATTACACAAAGTAAAACTATTTCCCCATGTTTATTCCCCTCCCCCTTCTGTTCCTCACACATTCTTGTCAACTGTTGGAAATGGCCCATCTTGATTATCACTACAAAAGTTTCCTTCCCGCCTCTCCCCCCCTCCCCCCCCCGCTCTCCTGCTGGTAATAGCTCACCTTACCTGATCACTCTTGTTACAGTGTGTATGGTAACACCCATTGTTTCATGTTCTCTATGTATATAAAATCTCCCCACTGTATTTTCCACTACATGCATCCGATGAAGTGAGCTGTAGCTCACGAAAGCTTATGCTCAAATAAATTTGTTAGTCTCTAAGGTGCCACAAGTACTCCTTTTTTTTAGGAGGAACTTAGTTTGCTGCTTCATTTCGAGTTTAGGAATGTGAGCTCGTGCCTAAGCTGCTACTGGGCAAATACAGGCCTCTATGCATTTCCTACAACTGCTTGCCTTCTTCATCGCCTTCTGCATCACCTACTGCTAAGGAAACAGTGATTGTGGAGGCAGTGTGTAGAGCTGGGGTGCAAACATTTAGTGCAGCATGCTCCCCTCTTAAAAGGTGTGTTATCCAGAAGGAAATTCCATCTGAAGTTAATACCAAGCTGAACAGCATTAACTTTGGCTCTATAGTTTTTCTCCTTCTTGAGAGGGGTGAGAGATTGGTTGGTGTATTGCTGTAGCTGAGATACCAAGGATTACAATATTCATGAGAGAGCCATGCTGTGATTGACAGTGACTCTACACAGATGCCTTGAGAACTGTGGAGGAACCAAGATGCCCCAGGAATCCTTATGTTCCATGCAGCTGCTAACTCCTTATCCCCGTAGTACCCTGGGATTTCTGCACAGGAAATTGAAGAGAGCTCTCTAGCTTTTCTTAGGGTTGCAATTTTGGTTGGATGAATTCCTGGAGATTTCATCACATGACATAATCTTTAATTAAAGATTAATATTTAATTCCTGGAGGGTTGGCAATCCTAGTTTTTCTCTTAGCCCATTTTTACGTAGAAGGGCTTGATGGTCCTTTTATCACATCTACACTGATGAAATACCTGTGGCTCCAACTTGCAGAGCCCAGGTCAGCTGACCTGGGCTCAGGCTGCAGGCTAAAAATTGCAATGTAGACATTTGGGCTCAGGCTGGAACCCAGGCTCTGAGACCCTCCCGCATCACAAACCTCAGATCTTCAGTTCCAGCGCAAGCCTGTGCATCTATATTGCAATTTTACAGCCCCACAGCCTAAGCCCGAGTCAGCTGACCGAGGTTAGCAGTGGGTGTGCTGTGGGTCTTTTATCATGGTATAGGTGTACCTGATATTGCCCTGAATTGGCAGACATGTGACTTGTCCAACAACACTGCAGTGTTGCTAAAACTAACTCACAAGGCTGATTGGAAAAAAACTAGGAAACACTGAGAGCATGTTATGTGGCTGAAATGACTTTATTATTTATAGATTTTTTTTTCTTCTGCTTGGTTCAACTTTACTCAGGGTTGAAGCCTTGCGTGATGCAGCATCTGCTATGGAACAAGAAAAAGAAACTCTGCTAGAAATGATCCATGGTATACAGAACAGCCAAGATATGAGGCACATCAGTGAAGGTGAGAGCCTGCCTTTTCCTAGATTCTCATTTGAAACTTGTTTTGGAGAAATCAGTGGATACAATCCTAAATTACAGTTAGTATACCTGTTTTACATGCAGCTCAGTTGAACTGTTTGAAAGTGGTGAGGCAACAGAATAAATGTAAATCTGTTTGAGCTAATGTAGTGTTAGTTAGATGGATCCTGTTACCTTAGTAGCCTTTTACACCTGACTATTCAAATTCATATCCTAGTTCAGTGTAGAGGACTACTGTAAGCATTATTGCATATGTGAAAATTACCCTTTTGGCATGCCCAGCCCATCACCACCTTTTCAAAGTCAGGGTCAGTTCACCTGTGCTCCTGGTGAGGGAGAACTTTATTTAGACATATAGAAAGTGATGGACACAATTGAGTTTCAGCTGTCTCTAAAGGGGAGAATTGGCCTATTAGGCAGTCATATTTATCCTTTCTCCTATTACAGAGGTTTCTTAGCAGTCTCTTCCTGTATGTAATCCTCACAGGTTATCTTGATATTCAGGTGACCTACCTTGATATTCAGGTGACCATCCATTGGATGAATGGGACCTTGCCTGCTATGTTCATTAAAAGTCAAGCAGGAAAGTATTCTGTTAATCATTGGTTACAATCTGTACTGTCCCCCAATATCAGAAAGGGTACCAACTTCTGTCAAACAAGCAGTTGTTAAGCAGACAGCTAAAGAAACAAGTCTCTTGCCAGGGTTGATCTTGCTGATTGTCACCCTGTTTTTAACCATCTTCTTTTATGTAATAGTATCAAGAAGGTTGTGACACAGCAAGGCTGATATCACCTGGACATCGTCCTTTGGTTTCCTGGTTACTTTAATTTTATTTGTTTTTTTAAACAGAATATGTCATGGAAACTGTACTAGATACCCACTCATACAATGGGTGCATGTACCTATTAGTAAAAAACATAAAGTAAGATATTTTTGGTGCTAGCAGTATTCCCCATTATAAGTACAGGGAATACCTTCTCAAACTTAAAATATGCTGTATACCATTAGAAGAAAATATTTCATCTGCTGCCACTGTAGCCAAAAGGAAAAGTCAGGAGTCTAAGGACTTCTGAAAAAATCTAAACAGCAGCTGATGAGGGGATATTATCTAACTAACAGACACTAACTGGGGCCAACTGGCTGGCTCATTAGTGGTACCATTCTTTTTATTGAAGGATTGCAGAGGGTGATGCTGAGTCAGGGCTTGTCTACACTTACAGCACTGCATTGGTGCAGCTGTAGCATTTAGTGAAGATGCTAGATGGGAGAGCTTCTCCTGTCTACGTGGATACACCACCTCCCCGAGATGCAGCAGCTATGTCGATGGGAGAAGCCCTCCTGTCGACATAGTGCTGTCTACACAGTGTAGACACATAGTGCTTTTCCACACCACTGAGCAACGTAGTTATGCCGACATAAGTTCCTTGTGTAGACCAAGCCTCAGTTATTTATCTGCCCTGATAAATCTCTCATGTAGGGTTCCACAAGGATCTCTTATGTTATTCCTGTGAGTAGTGCTCTAAAAATACAGTTCACTCAGCCACCGTAAGGTCAGATCATATCCCTTTCCTGGATTTTCATTTTATTAACAAACATTAATAAATTAAGAAACCAATCTACCCCTTCTCTCCACACTTAGTTGCACTACTGCATAGCATGCAAGAACTAAAGCAATAATTCCAGTAAAGTGCTCTTTATCCAGTTCTATTTTATGTAGCAAAATACTTATTTAATTTTTTTTTTTTTTTTGCAGCTCTGCTAGAAGCTTACGTAGATGCTGTGACTAGTGGCTTAGTTCACGTTTTCCTATCATGAAGAAAAATAAGCACTGAAGTGTAATTCAGCTCGGTAAAGTGACTGTGAAAGTGGCACACTCTTATTCAGTGAACAAAAGCAGTATACTGCCTCATTGCAGTAACACATAACCTTTTACTGCTTTTTTTCACTGCTGTTTACACTGCAGAGCCAACACAGCTAATATTAAGAAGCAGGATTCTATTCCATGTTGTGTATCATCAACAGACTTGTCTAATAAGTTCCAGTCGGTTATATGCATGCAAGCCAGCTGAAAGAATGAGGTTGGCCAGGTGTCAATGAGGGTCCAATTTAGCATGCAGAACCATTATTATTGGAGATAATGCACGAGATGGAAGAACCAAGGTTGACTTTCAAGGACCAGGCTGTGATAGAAAGGCCGGCAGTTAGATTGTACCTGTAAACTTAGCACATTTGGTCTAACGTTGAGAGACAAATTTAGGACTCCTTTATTTTTAGTTACTGTTCAAAATAGAATCACCAATTTAACTTTCTGATCTGCTTTAAAAATATTTTTATTGCAAACCAACAGCAGAGATGTGTATCTACTATGTACACTAGGGTAATTTGATTGTATGTGTGAAATTGTTCATACCTAAAAGGGCTGGGTTGTAAATCAGAACATTTTATTTTTAAATGTAGGTGAAAGAGAAGAACTTTGCCTGACTGCCAGTCGTCTGATGGGCCGAACCCTCACTGTTGAGGTTTCTGTAGAAACAATACGAAACCCACAGCAGCAGGAATCCCTTTTGCATGCCACAAGCATGATTGATGAAGTAGTCAATAAACTTCTTGACAATCTGGAAGATTCCAAAAGCCGTTTAATGTCACTTTATGGTGCATGCACGTCTGAGGTACCATCTGGACCCATTGATCAGAAATTTCAGTCTGTTGTAATTGGATGCGCTATTGAAGATCAAAAGAAAATCAAAAGGAGACTAGAGACCCTGCTTAGAAATACAGAAAACTCTGAAAAGTCAATCACGTTGTTAGAACATCCAAAATCAACTGTCCAACAGCTTTGCAACAACGAACGGGATTAAGTAGTGATAGCTATTTGGGCAGATCAAAGTTAAGTCTCCATAAAGGTTGCACGGAATGCAAAGAAAAATGTTACTTTTTAGCACTAAACTAATAATACTTTAGAGTGCTGGGTGCAAATATTAAATAAATACGGATAGCACTGCCTTAGGTATCAGAAAGAACATAGATATTTTCTTTCACAATGAAGATGTGATCTAAGACTGCTATCAGGTTTGCTCCCCTAGACTTAAACTTTATTGGTACTGCTGCTACAAATTGTAATTAATGTACTTCTGCTGCACTCTTAAAGCTAGTCAGAATCTAATTTCTTTCTCTTAAATTTTTGAAAACTTAAGCTGATGTGTCATGTACTAAGATTTCACCTAGAAAATTTTTTTTCCTTTGGTGAATACTTTGTATGAAACAGACTTATGAGAAAAAGACAAGTCACGCAATAAACAAGAAGAAAAAATGGATATACCACACTCTATTTTCAGTAATGAGTAACTTTTGTTAGTGATAATTAGTACTTGGCACTATACCTTAAAATGCTTTACAGAAAAGGATAAGAATTGTCCCCATTTTACAGACATTGTGGTAAAATAACTCGCACAAGGTCACACAGCAGGCTGGGAATAGTACCCAGGTCTTCTGACTAACAGTTCCATGCTCTGTCCACTGGATGCTGCTGCCTTCTAGCCTGTTTATTAACTAATGCTCAGTTTGGGGCTACTGTGGGCTAATGATTTCAGAGTAACTTAAAAGAGGAGTTATGCAGAAATGCTTTCATGTCCTGCAAATCAAAGATACTTTTTTTCCTATTAATCCTCTATGAAGCATAACAAAGTGAAACAGCTGGATCTACAAACATTTTAAAATGGATTATATTCAGTTATGATGTAAGCAGATGCTGGTCTCATTAAAGTCAATGTAAATTGCTCCTGCTCATGCCAAAGTGGAGGTTAGACCCTGTTTTCCCAAAACACAGACATCTTTTTCATGTTCATCACTGGTGTTTGTTATAAAGGAGAAAGCTTTTATAGATCTTCCTATTTGTACACCCTGTTTCATAATGTCAAACGCTGGGTGAAGTTGATTATTAAATGAAATTTTAATAACAAGAAAAATCAAATGCTTCAATGAGTTTGTTAAATGCATTCATTCTGAAGTTTGAGTGAAGCAATAGTTCAGTAAGATGCACTAGAATCATAGAATATCAGGGTTGGAAGGAAACTCAGGAGATCATCTGGTCCAACCCCCTGCTTAAAGCAGGACCAATCCCCAACTAAATCATCCCAGCCAGGGCTTTGTCAAGCCTGATCTTAAAAACCTCTCAGGAAGGAGATTCCACCACTTCCCTAGATAACGCATTCCAGTGCTTCACCACCCTCCGAGTGAAAAAGTTTTTCCTAATATCCAACCTAAACCTCCCCCACTGCAACTTGAGACCATTACTCCTCGTTCTGTCATCTGCTACCACTGAGAACAGTCTAGATCCATCATCTTTGGACCCCCTGTCAGGTCGTTGAAAGTAGCTATCAAATCCCCCCTCATTCTTCTCTTCCGCAGACTAAACAATCCCAGTTCCCTCAGCCTCTCCTCATAAGTCATGTGTTCCAGTCCCCTAATCATTTTTGTTGCCCTCCGTTGGACTCTTTCCAATTTTTTCACATCCTTCTTGTAGTGTGGGGCCCAAATCTGGACACAGTACTCCAGATGAGGCCTCACCAATGTCGAGTAGAGGGGAACGATCACGTCCCTCGATTTGCTGGCAATGCCCCTACTTATACATCCCAAAATGCCATTGGCCTTCTTGGCAACAAGGGCACACTGCTGACTCATATCCAGCTTCTCGTCCACTGTAACCCCTAGCTCCTTTTCTGCAGAACTGCTGCCGAGCCATTCAGTCCCTAGTCTGTAACAGTGCATGGGATTCTTCTGTCCTAAGTGCAGGACTCTGCACTTGTCTTTGTTGAACCTCATCAGATTTCTTTTGGCCCAATCCTCTAATTTGTCTAGGTCCCTCTGTATCCTATCCCTACCCTCCAGTGTATCTACCTCTCCTCCCAGTTTAGTGTCATCTGCAAACTTGCTGAGGGTGTAATCCACGCCATCCTCCAGATCATAAATGAAGATATTGAACAAAACCAGCCCCAGGACTGACCACTGGGGCACTTCACTTGATACCGGCTGCCAACAAGATATGGAGCCATTGATCACTACCCGTTGAGCTCGATGATCTAGCCAACTTTCTATCCATCTTATAGTCCATTCATCCAGCCCATACTTCTTTAACTTGCGGGCAAGAATACTGTGGGAGACCGTGTCAAAAGCTTTGCTAAAGTCGAAGAATAACGTGCACTGCTTTCCCCTTATCCACAGAGCCAGTTATCTTGTCATAGAAGGCAATTAGGTTAGTCAGGCATGACTTGCCCTTGGTGAATCCATGGTGACTGTTCCTGATCACTTTCCTCTCCTCTAAGTGCTTTAAATTGATTCCTTGAGGACCTGCTCCATGATTTTTCCAGGGAGTGAGGTGAGACTGACTGGCCTGTAGTTCCCAGGATCCTCCTCCTTCCCTTTTTTAAAGATGGGCACTACATTAGCCTTTTTCCAGTCGTCCGGGACCTCTCCTGCTTTGAGTTTTCAAAGATAATGGCCAATGGCTCTGCAATCACATCCGCCAACTCCTTTAGCACTCTCGGATGCAGCGCATCCGCCCCCATGGACTTGTGCTTGTCCAGCTTTTTTAAATAGCTAAACCCACTGCTAATGATGGTCTGCAGCACATAGGTTTGTTCCCAAACCTCCCACTTACAGATAAGGTAACATAATTAATCTCTTTTATGCACTGAGGTCGTAATGTTTGTAATGCATTCTGTATTTGATTTTTTTAGAAACGTCCAGCAGCAAGAACATATGTAACAGGGCTTGTAAAATATTCAATAACATCTCTGTATAGCACTAGTTTGAGGTGGGGAATGAAATAAAGAACTAAGTTCCATTGTTACCCCACTTATTGGTATAATACACAGTTTGTGGTTTTGCTCACAAGGACAGTGACCTTATCACTAAGGATAAGATTTTGTAACAGAAGTCACGGATTCCGTCACTTCCAGATACCTCTGTGCCATTGTCTTCTTCCAGCCCTGTGCCTGGGGCAGTGGGGCCAAAGCCCTCAGAGGCTGGAGGATGCAGGGGGCCCTGGAGCTTTCAGCTGCTGCAGGCGGCTGGGGTCCCAGAGCTCTCAGCAGTCATGAAGGGGCATTAGCTCTCAGCTGCCAGCGGGGGTGGTAGCTCTAAGTTGATGGCACTGGCGGGGGCCCTGCTGCTGCCAGCCCTCGGACTCCTTAGCTCCTGGCCACCATGGGCGGGGGCCCCGCTGCTATCAGCCAGGGCAGGTGGATGGTGGGGGCCCTGTTGCTATGAGCTGGGGCTGGTGGTGGGAGGCCTGCAGCTCTGGCAGCCAGTGGGGCCCGCAGCTCTTAGCTGCTGCTTTCAGCGGGGGCAGGGGGTGGGCTCATTGCTGGTAGCCAGGGTATACGCAGTGGGGGGCCTCACAAATCTGAGCAGTGGTGGGAACCCTGCTGCTCTCATCTGCCACCTGTGGCACACCCCGCTGCTCTCATCTGCAGCTGTTGCATGGCTCCTGCAGCCACTGTGGGGGGAGGAGGCAGGAGCTACAAGTCCACTGCTAGAGGAGTTGCCCGCCAGCTTCCTGGCAGGTGGGAATTGTCTGCTCTCTTGGGGGTGGGGGAACTGAGGCTGGCAGGCCCCTGGAGTTGGGGCTTGGGGAGGGAGCACCCTCTGCACCTCCTGACTCACCATCCAGTTTGTGGGTCAGACTTTCCTGCCTAGCGGTGGCTCTGCCCCAGAAAGGTCACGGTGCCTTCTCTAAGGGTTCACTCCTCAGTTTCTGCTTGGCCCAGGGAGTCTAACCAGGGCCCTGAGCAATGTGGAATTTCACAAAAAAGAGTCACACATCTCCTACAAGAAGGGGTTACAGCGATTTATTTGAAGACAGACCAAGAGAACAGCAGCAAACAAAAAAATGAGCCAAGTAGCAACATTAAGTGCTAAGCAGCTAGCAGAGCAGTACCCTAAAACATTCCATGGAAGTGGAGGAAAGGTGTTTTGTACATCATACAATGTACCTATTGATTTTATGAGAACGCTAACTCTGGAAAAGGACAAGGGGGCAGGGGCAGTGCATGGACCCTCCCTGGCCACCTATGTGCTTAGGGACTCTAGGGATCTGGCAGCCACTTCCTGGGAGCCATGGTAAGCGCCCCTGGGACCCTGCACCCTGAACCCCTTCTGCACCCCAACCCCAACTCTGAGCCCTCTCCTATGCCCAAACTCCCTCCCCAGCACCCTGCACCCCAAATCTCTGTTCCAGCCCTGAGCCCCCTCGTGCACCTCAAACCCCTCATCCCTGGCCCCACCCCAGAGTCCACATCCCCAGCTGGAGCCCTCACCACCACCTCCCTCGACAGCCTAACCCACTGCCGCAGCCCCGAAGCCTCTCCCACAACCCAAACCCCTCATCCCCACCCCCACCCGAGAGCCCACACCTGCAGCCAGAGCCCTCAGCTCCCTCCTGCACCCCAACCTCTACCCCAGCCTAGTGAAAGTGAGTGAGGGTGGGGGAGAGTGAGGGACAGAGCGAGCAGAGGCGGGGCCACAAAGAAGAGGCAGAGGGTGTTCAGTTGTGTGTGTGTATAGAAAGTTGGCAACCCTACGCTCAGGTTGTCAGGGTCAAGCCAGGCCTAGAACTCAGCACAGCTAGCTTTCTTAAGGTAGTGGAATTATTCCACAATTTGTGGAATAAGAAAAGGAGTACTTGTGGAACCTTAGAGACTAACCAATTTATTTGAGCATAAGCTTTCGTGAGCTACAGCTCACTTCATCGGATGCTGTAGCTCACGAAAGCTCATGCTCAAATAAATTGGTTAGTCTCTAAGGTGCCACAAGTACTCCTTTTCTTTTTGCGAATACAGACTAACACAGCTGTCACTCTGAAATTTGTGGAATATGTCTGTGCAACTTGTGAACTCTAAGTGAGATTACGAACTCTGTGTACCTTTACCAAGCCACAAATTCCATTTTGAAGATGCAGCTCTTTGTCTTCTCTGTTGTCTTTAGGTTGACCATATTTCCCTATGCTGAATATGGGACACCTGGTAAAACTGCTCAAATTCAAGCCAGTTCAATGGCAACCAATCAGAACTATGCAGTAGCCCCCCACATGCTACAAAAACTCCAGGGCCCACCGGGGGAAGAGGGGCTTCGGCCATAGGCATAGTATGATTTCTATTTTGGTGGCAGGGGCCAGCAGGGCTCAAGCCAGCTCCATATGGCGGGTCCAGGGAGGCAGTGCCACCTCCACCCCCTGATTTACTCCGCCTGTCTTGGTTGTGGCAGGAGGGAGACGCCATTGGCCAGTTGCTGGCCAATGGGAACTGTGGGGTGGGGGTGCACTTGGGGTGGGGCAGCATGCAGAGGCCCTTGGCTACCCCTACTGCAGGAGACGGAGAGGGGACATGTATGGAGTTGGGTAAGCCCAGACCCCACTCCCCAGCAGGAGCTCAAGGGCCGGATTAAAACATCTGAAGGGCCAGATGCGGCCCCCAGGCTGTAGTTTGCCCACCCCTGTTCTAGGGCCTGACCACGGTCCTCTTGATTGCAACTCTCAGAAGGGGTGCCTGACAGGAGATCTGTACCCTAAGACAGCAGCAGTGCCTGGATCCTATTCAGTCTCTGGAGGCTCAAAACAAGCAGGGATTCAGCAGCTAGCTCATCTCATATCAGTCTGGAGGTATCTTTTCAGTGAATCAAACATCCTTCTGTTCTATTTCTAACATTTCTTATCCCTAAACGTCTACCATCAGTCACAGGCTTCTAGATCTAAAATGGTGATCTAAGCCCCTCCATTGTGCCGATTGTCTTATCCCAGTCTAATCATAGAACTTCTACTATCTAAAATCAAGGGCAAGTGGTGGTTCTATTGGATTCTCTTCCTAAACTTACTTGTTCATTAAGATGGTTATGATAACTACCTTTTCTCTCCACTGTTGACAGCATATTAATTTGAATCAGTCACACCAGACTCTGGAGTGCATTGCTTCACATGGGACTGTTAGGGAGATGCAGACTTGGTTACACAGCCACAGGGGTATAGCAATTTCTAGCAATTTGATGCCTCAACTATTTAATGTACCTACAGAAGCAGCAACATGCTATGCAGCCCAAACACTATTCAAGTAAGTAATGTTTACAAACTGCTGTGACACAGCTAAATGTCACTTAAAACAGGTTAAAATTAACTTTCAGTGGTTTTATAGAAATAGCACACACAAAGTATTCATTTTGAAACATTTATTTTTCCACTTGTCTGAGTATGAACTATAGGTCATGTTGACATGAATTTCTAAAAAAATAAGTATATTCCATTTACTTGGGTACATGATGGTGATAAAAGGTTATACATTTGATTTGTTTTAACCATTCAGATTCATAGAAATATGCAACTTAGATAAGTCACTTATTAGTAACAATGGATTTTTATTTTAGTGATGAGAGCAATATCCCTTTTGGCCCAAACTAATTTTTTGATTAATATATTTTGACCAAGTTTAGTCAGCAGCCTATTGTTTCAAATGAGAGAGAAGGAATGCTCACTAGACATATAATATATCACTATTACCCTAATTCTACTGGTAACCTGATACTATTTTTAGTATTACCTAAATAAGGTTCACTTGGCTTTTAGGTCATGGTCTCTCCCATCATACAAAGAGGAATTAACCTTTGAATTTTAATTGTTTGAAAGACTTCTCATCTTTCTGTAATAATGTGTAAAAAGTCTTAAATTTATTACTCTTGCAAGACTCACTGTTAATTCTTCTTACCCATTCTGATTAGGTATTAGGAGTACAATACATACTATTTGTCAATACAGTACAGCTTGAATTTATGAGCCTCAGATTTTACTGAACACATTAATGATCAGTACAAGTGATTTTTCCTTATAGCAATATAGTAAGGCAATTTAATGAAGCTAGCTAAATGGACCATAATTGCTCTTCATGTTACTGAGCAAAATTTTATATAGAGGCATTTAGAAACCTAATGCAGTTTTTGGTATTATCATTGGAATACAATAAACTTATACATTGTGTAGTTGTAAGCGAGAGTACCCACAAGCAGGTTCACCAGTGCAAATAATGAATTCTCATATTACTGATTAACTGATAACCATCAGACTTATGAATTAACATGTTCAAAGTGCATGTTCACTGAGCATTATGCACTGTATATAGGCACAAGCTCTTAGCAGTACAATGTGTTCAACTGCTGAATTCCCTTTAAAGATACAATCTGTAGAAGTGACCAAAAAAGCTACAGTGTAATATAAGCTATAGTCTAATCACTAATTACAAAGAAGAGTAAAACAAGTTTAAGTGTAATAAAACAAAAACCAGGGAATCAGCTTGAAAATATGCTGATGCACATTTGGACTGAAAGGATAAGCTTTGCCTTTAGGAAACAATGAAAAAATCAGAAAGCTCTGAAGCTATAAATTCTATAATTTTTAAAAAGTTAAGTTGGGTTAACCAAGAGAAAATTTAAAATGACTGAAATTGTAACTCAGAGCTTTGTTATTTCCAAAGGAAAATGAATCATAGCCATCCTACTTCGCATCAAATAGCATCCCCTACTGAAAAGTATCATTAAAAAGGCAGGCCTTACTAACGAAGCAAGCCCATTCGCTGAATGGATACAATGAAATAGTAACAGATGTTTCTAAAAATTGCTCCTGTAGTGTATAGACTAGTTTAGTAAACACTCACTTAGCTAAGGCATAACTAATTACTGAAGTTTTCCTTTAATGGCCTTATCAGTTGATAGCAGCACAAACAGTTGTGACAGGGTGCAAGTAATACACCCAGTGCAGAGATTCAAGAGAGGTCACCAGATGTAATTGGAATGCAGTGAGCCTAGTTCCTACTGTACCTATAGAAAAGAACTTCATTTGTTGAGATGGGAACAGTTGTTCATGATTCAGTACGTAAGGATACCCACTGCTGTAGGTTTCTAACAGAGGACCACATCCTTTTCTACAACATTGTCACAATGAGATGCACTGATGGCATTTTGTTACCAGCTCTGTAGGTCTTAGTTTTGGAGAGTAAACCACACTGTCTCTCCAAAATATTTTAATTGAGAGTGCACATTAATGTGTTTCTTTTTTTGTAAGATTAGTTTTTAATATAAACTAATCATATGGAGCTGTGAGTACTAATAATTTAAATATGTCTGGTTTCAGAGTTAGAAACTACATCTGAGAGTTGAGTGCCCAAGGAACTCTGCAACTTGCTAGTCTGCTGCTGCATATCTGCATGCTAAAATCCTTTAAATTTTTAATTAGCACAAATGCACAATAGACTATCATCCTAATGTCAATTTGTTGCATTCTGCATCACTTCCAGCCATATTGCAAACGGACTCTCCACAACGTTAAAACATAAAATGAAGAGCCACTTTACAGTGAGAGGTGGGAAGGAAAATAACCACACTACTTACTACCTGACTCTGCAACCACTTACACATGTGCTTAACTTTAAGCATGCAAGTAGTCTCCTTGTAATACATTTAAGCTTCCCTCATATTTGGTAAGTCTGACAAGTTTCAGCCTGGTATAGAACCTTTTGTCAAGTTTTCAATCCTGAAAAAAGTGGTTTATAATGACAGACCGTAAACATAACAGTACAAATGGCAATTAGGTGTAATAAAGGCTCTTATTCTTCAGTACTTTGTACAAAGTGAAATAAGGCAAAAACTCAAGTTATAGACAGTCCTGTTTTTTTTTAAAACTGTAAAACTGGCAGGCTACTGGCATAATGTAAAAAATTCAACATTAAAAATGTTTGACAAAATTCTGCACAAATATACACTCTACTTAAATCCTAAAATGTTGAGATGTCACATTATGTACGAGATTGATTCTCTTTCTTACCAAATCCTGCTATCTTACTCATGAAATTGACAAGAGGTAAAATTTGGCCCCATTTATACATCCATACAATGATTAAATGCGCTTTTAAAAAATAAAGGCCTTTATCTAACAGAGTATGTAAGAAACACTGCAGTAAGAACCTTTTTTTTTTTTTTTTTTTTTTAATAGAAGAGGGATTGAGTGCCTCAATGCCCATCTCATTGCCAGCAATGGGAGATGCAGCAACAGCTTGTCACAGAAACAAGATACTTCACAGGAAATAGACTATATGAACATACAATGCAGCACTTCAGATTATTTTAGTGTCTGTAAGTATCACCACGCACACAGTTTACCCACATATCAGATTGGTACCAAGAGTACATTTCAGTTTTCATGCTCAAGGTCTCAGAAATTAGCAAGTTACGCTTATTATATGAATTAATGAAAAGGTAAGTCCCTCCTCCAACATATATACAAAGTACTAACAAGAGTGCAGACTTACTGCATTATATGTTTACTGCACAAGAAATTCTCCCATGGTATTGGGAAAAAGTAGAAAAATGATGGACTAAACTGAAAGTATAACTATTAAACCAACCCATTAATGTACAATGAAAATCAGTTACTAATAGGAATTGTGTAGCAATCTATATTGAATACTTACAGCTCCAGGTCATGTAATTTTCACTCTAGTACATCCGTTTAAAAACTATTAAAATTCTGAATAGCTTAAAGCAGAATATTTTTGCATTTGTTGCTGGCAGAGCTTTGTTGTAGAAAATCCTAGAAAATTAAAATTATACAACACTACACAAAAACAAACAAAATGGATATTTTTAAAATGCATGTTTGGAGAGAACTGGGTGAAAATTTTCAAAAGCATCTTAGTGATTTAGAAGCCTAAGTTATATTGACTTTCAATTAGACTTAGATACCTGAATGTCCACATAGCATGGCAATGCACACGAGAGTGATGTCATTTCCAAAGCGCACCAATGTGTTGTGCACTAACTTGTGCATGCAAATCCTGCTGACATGAACTAAAAGTTCCCTACTGCACGTCTATCTTAATGCGCACTAGGGAATTTTTAGTTCATGCTAGCAGGAATATGGGTCACTTAGGTGCAATCTGGTGTGCTTTAGGAATCATACCCCTCTAACGTGCATTGGTGCGCTGTGTAGGCAAGCCCCAAGTCACTTCTGAAAACTTTACCCCTTAGATCGGATATTGCAGAATTAGATTTTTAACCTGCGGCATAACTCCGAATACGAGAAGAGGGTCTCATTAGTTTAATGTGTGATTTAGTCTTCAGCTACAACTTGTTGGATCCTCCAGAACTCAGTTTACACCTATTTCTCAATAGAACCTAAGACATTTTGTTGACACCCCACTCTGCAAATTCAACATACTTTTCATAGTTCATGTAGCATGAACATATTAGATGTCAGCAATATATTTTTAGACAGGAATACAATTGAAATTTTATGGGTTCCATTTAGAGGACTGATATTATCAGAAACAATACTAACTGTTTACCCTTTTATGACTGACACAAACAAACTTTACAAAAATATCTGTAGTGCATTACAAGATAAAAAGGAAAAAACGTTTTTGGCACACCTCTTCTTAAACCTAAGCTTTAAAGGCCCAAAGTGTAGTGAGTTAATTAATTAATGAACAGAACTCCTTTGGAAAAAGTCTTATTTGAAATGCAAAATTTTAAGTGAAAATAATTTTAAGGATGCTATTTTAATCCAATACTGTATCCTCTTGTGTGGTCTGAGTATTTGTACCAAATATCTACGTGCACACCTTACTTAACATTCATATAACATACAAAACTTATTGCACCAGTAAAATTGCCAGAATATGTATTAGTGTAATCTGACAAATATGATGTCTGCCTTTTGCTTCTCATTTTACTTTTCAGAGTCCTGGTTGACTACCACTCTTCTATCAAATTTGCTGGTAAACTTAGTTGGAAGGAAGCTACTTCACCTTGGGTCATATTAGTATGTACCAATACTTGTAAGCACTATGCTTACATTTTTAATATGCTTAACAATTCAGCCAAACCTATTACATAGCTTTGTACAGTCCTTCAAACAGGAAAAGCTCATCCAATTTAAACAAAATGCACAGGGGCAACAATGGTTCGATATATATATTTTTTTGCCACCGGGGTCTCACTTTACATACAAAATAAACATTGCAACAGCAATATTATTTAAATCCACCATCTGTCAAGGATCCTGTAGGTGCAAGGTTTGCGAGAGCACTGGTAAAATACCTCTATAGCTGGCTGTATTCCGTATTTAATTGCACAACTTCATTCAAATGACTGTCATACGTTTTCCTTCCAAAAGTGGTTCTAAGGTATGCTGCAACTGCTAAAAGGACTTCTGTTTTTCTTGGTCCTCTGTTTGTTTGGTCTAAGGTTGATGACATCTCCACCATTAAGTGTACTAGAATTGTGGCCCGAATGACTTCCACCAGCTGTATTAAACACACCTATATAATTTAAAGAAAAAAAAGCAGCTATTTCTGTGAATCTCTTTATACCTTTTATATGTTGAATATGCAAAAGCATTTACTAATGCGTAGTAATACATCTCAAACACAAGCTCTTTAATTCCTGAACAGTTATTTATTCTTGTGGTCACTTGCAGTTAGAGTTCAATAAGCTATGTTTCTGAACAAGAGCCAGCTGGAGTTAAATACATGCCACTGTGAGGTTTAATACCAGCACAAAATTTACAGCTAAGGAACTGGACAGTAGCATACTTACTCAGATGCTAATCAGATGGCAACAAACTTATGTTTAGTTGAGTAATACAACAAACAAACATGACAGGGCTTTTAAATTAGCAACTTTTGTTGGGATAAAGGAGAGGAAAAGGGTAGTATAAAAAGAGTGCGTTAAGGAGAAAAAAAATCAGTGGACTCAAAAGTCCTTTAAAGAACTAAAGTTCAAGGTTTCTTCACAAAAGGCAAAGTTTACAAAGCCCTTCTCATTAAATGCCAGAACTTTCCACAGTGAGTCTCTTGTGTATCTGCTCCAGCGTGACTAACACTAATACCAATTACATTTAAAAAAAAAAAAAAAGGCAAGTGTCAGGGAAACATCCATTCTCAAGTCCTTACAATGTTTTTCCCAAGAACTGAATAAAAAGGGTAGTTCAGAAACATTGGCCAGCATTGTTAGTACATTAGTTTGACTACATTACAAAAGGATAATAGACAACATAGTAGGGTAGAAAAAAGCTAATTAGGAGCCTGAATCAACTCCCTGTGACTCCAATGGAAGATGGATCAGATCCGTAGGTAATTAATAGCAGGCTTCGTCAGCATAAAATACTGACTTGCTGCAATTTATTGTTGCATACTTACCAATTTTGTTACTACTTGTATGTACTACTTCTGGATCTTCAGCTGTTTGTTGTTTGAGCTTTTGAAGATATTTTTCAGCCAAATATTTAAAAACTGAAATACAAAAAAAGATACTTAGAGTGTGAGATCCAAGATAGGGATCTCCACATGGACATCTCTGCAAAGCTTCATAATAGATGAGCTCATCTTAGTATTACAGATTCATTTTGATTACAAAGCTGAGTTATAAGCACCTGATTTGATACTACGGGTCCCAGTCCCAGATTCCATGTAGGCAGATCGTTGTACCAATACAGAGCATCACTAACTTCCACATGGGTCTACCCATAGTCACTTGCAAGATCAGGGTTATATATAGTTTGTTATGCTTTATACCACAGTGCACGGGTACATACATGTGGTCATAAAGATTACAACTTGTAGATACTGTTAAAATAAGGTAGCATCTTTAAGCATTTACTACACATAGGTCTTACAGCAAGTGTTTATAATAGAACAGCAATCATGTAAAACAAGATCTAAAAAGAATTTAAAAAAAATTGGGCAATGAGTATTCTCAGTACTAATTTAACTGTTGCTACATTGATGAGGATAGGACTGTGAGTAGTCTACTATATGTGGGAATTTTCAGAAGCCATACACAGTATCAACAAATATCTGCAGTTTAGTAATGTACTTTAATAATGCACAAATAGGTAGATTTTTAAATTTGTTTATTTTTCCCTTGCAAATTTGTTTACCAGGATGAAAATCTAAGTGAAAAGGAGAAATAGTGCACTTCTGGATCTTGTGTGGTGATATAAGAAATGAGATTAAATGAGAATGACAGAATGCCCTATAAATGCTAGAAAGGCACTGCCTGGAATATATTACTATGATGAAACTGAATTTATGCATAAAAATAGCAGTATTATAGAAGTTGGTACGACATTACTGACAGACAGCTGCATTCATGTTCAAAGTTTTTCAGCAATTACGTTCAACTGTACACTGTTGAACAACTTGGAATCCATAAATACTTAAGCTTTATCAGTAAAATTTTCAGAGCCTAATTCCCATTGAAAGCCAATAGGATTTAGATATCTAAATCACTTAAGCAGTTTTGAAAATTTTACTTTTACCTTAAATGTGGAAGAAAAACAGAAGAACTACAAGTAAAGAAAAAAAATGTTACATAACTGTATCAAGTGACAATCAAATTTAAGATGTCATTCCTACTGTGACTATAGTGCAGTGCCAGGAAATGAGAGTGGCCAAAAACATTATAAAACCAGTAGATTAGTTTCCAGGCTACACAGATGTGCAATGCTACATGGCAGAGGACAGGACAGAATCCTATATTTGCCATCTCTTACCTTCAGTTACATTTAGGTCCTCTTTCACGGACACTCGGTAGAATCTTAACTTTAACTTTTTTGCCAATGCTTCTGCCTCTTCACTGCACAACAGAAAAAACTTGTAAATACTAATTTGTATATTATACCAGTGTATCAATACTGTACACAAAATTATTTGGAATTAATTTAGTCAGAAGATCAGGTGAGGAGGTAGCTACTCTTTAATTACTTTATGACCTGTCCACTTTAAACAATGAGATGTTTTGCTGGAGCATTCCTTTTCAATTAAGAGTTGTTACATTTTCATGTCTATTTGATTGTGTTTTAAAAAAACCTCCCTGGCAGTAGTGAGATGGGTGTCATAAAAGCCAAAGGGCAGGAGGTTGCAACTAATCAAGAAAACAGATTAGGATGGCCTGAATGAAAATTTTAGTAATATGGACAGAGACAAGTAAGATCTTAGAGATGGTCTTACGGGGGGGGGGGGGAGAGAAAGAAAGCAGATTGGAAGGGACCAAAGAGCTCGAAAAAATAAACCTGAAGCAAGGTTAAACAGGGTGCATTTCAATGAGTTTAAAGAGGAAAGGCAGAAGACAGGGCAGTAGCTGGAAAGGGATGAGGGTGGGTTTTTTGGTTTGTTAAAATAAGGGGAGACCATAGTATGTTTGTATTGTGAGGGGAAAACTTGAGTGTGAAATTTTAAGGAGTTGAGAGAGGGCATGAAAACTGGGACAAGGGAGGTCATGAGGTGGGAAGAGATGAGAAGGAAGGTTTACAGAAGTAAAAGAAGTGAGAAATCTCAGTGTTGGTGACACGGATGAAAGAGGAGGTCACATCTGATCTTGTTTATTTTCTCTTTGAAAATCAGTAATATCCTGTGTGGGTGAAGGAAGGGGAAGTTGAGCTTTAGGAGGATATCAAAGGGGGAGAACAGGAAGCGAGGACAGTCAGCGTAGGAAACAATGAGAGGGAGAAGTAGTTTAGCTAGACCAGGAAAACTACAGAACTAAAGGAGGGGAGACTGAATTAATAGTAGAATTATTCAGCATGGTCATCCAACTTTCTCCACAGGCACAAATAAGAGTAGAGGAAGTGGATGCTGGGTGGAATGAGACTTGCAGTTTCTGAGTTTGATTCCAGGGTGAGGGAGAGAATGGAATAGAATGAATTGACAATTCAGTCTATGGAGGAGAGAACAGGGAAGAGGGAGCGGAGAGTGACTGAGTTTGTGGATGTTAATGGGTTGTAAATTTCTAGAATATGAAATATAGTACTTTGATAAAACATGAGTATATGAAAGAACAATTTCAAGAGAAAACAAAAGCAAACATATAAAAGCACATTTTAAAATCTGTTTAACACAGTTTGGCCACTGTGTGCATTCACTAACCAAACTAGAGTATATAATGTTGTCAAGGTTCCTCCCCCCACTCTGAACGCGAGGGTACAGATGTGGAGACCTGCATGAAAACCTCCTAAGCTTATCTTTACCAGCTTAGGTCAAAACTTCCCCAAGGTACAAAATATTCCACCCTTTGTCCTTGGATTGGCCGCTACCACCATCAAACAAATACTGGTTACTGGGGAAGAGCTGTTTGGAAACTTCTTTCCCCCCAAAATACTTCCCAAAACCTTGCACCCCACTTCCTGGACAAGGTTTGGTAAAAAGCCTCACCAGTTTGCCTAGGTGACTACAGACCCAGACCCTTGGATCTGAGAACAATGAAAAAGCATTCAGTTTTCTTACAAGAAGACTTTTAATAGAAATAGAAGTAAATAGAAGTAAAGAAATCACCTCTGTAAAATTAGGACGGTAGATACCTTACAGGGTAATTAGATTCAAAACATAGAGAACCCCTCTAGGCAAAACCTTAAGTTACAAAAAAGATACACAGACAGAAATAGTTATTCTATTCAGCACAATTCTTTTCTCAGCCATTTAAAGAAATCATAATCTAACACGTACCTAGCTAGATTACTTACTAAAAGTTCTAAGACTCCATTCCTGGTCTATCCCCGGCAGAAACAGCATACAGACAAACAGAGACCCTTTGTTTCTCTCCCTCCTCCCAGCTTTTGAAAGTATCTTGTCTCCTCATTGGTCATTTTGGTCAGGTGCCAGCGAGGTTACCTTTAGCTTCTTAACCCTTTACAGGTGAGAGGAGCTTTCCCCTGGTCAGGAGGGATTTCAAAGGGGTTTACCCTTCCCTTTATATTTATGACATGTAATGGCCCCTTAACCTCACGGCCATGATATGTAAATTCATAAATGAGCACTCCAATGATTGGGACCTAGTGTTGCAGCAGTTGCTCTTTGCCTACAGAGCTGTACCACACCCCAGTTTAGGGTTTTCCCCATTTGAACTTGTATATGGCCGTGAGGTTAAGGGGCCATTGCAGTTGGTGAAGCAGAAATGGGAGGGATTTACACCTTCTCCAAGAACTAACATTCTGGACTTTGTAACCAACCTACAAAACACCCTCCGAACCTCTTTAGCCCTTGCTAGAGAAAACTTACAGGATGCTCAAAAAGAGCAAAAAGCCTGGTACGATAAACATGCCAGACAGCATTCCTTCAAAGTAGGAGACCAGGTCATGGTCTTAAAGGTGCTCCAGGCCCATAAAATGGAAGCATCGTGGGAAGGGCCATTCACGGTCCAGGAGCGCCTGGGAGCTGTTAATTATCTCATAGCATTCCCCTCCTCCAACCGAAAGCCTAAGGTGTACCATATTAATTCTCTAAAGCCCTTTTATTCCAGAGAATTAAAGGTTTGTCAGTTTACAGCCCAGGGAGGAGACAACGCTGAGTGGCCTGAAGGTGTCTACTACGAAGGGAAATGTGCTGGTGGTGTGGAAGAGGTGAACCTCTCCATGACCCTTGAGCGTATGCAGCGACAGCAGATCAAGGAGCTGTGCACTAGCTACGCGCCAATGTTCTCAGCCACCCCAGGACTGACTGAACGGGCATACCACGCCATTGACACAGGTAATGCTCACCCAATTAGAGTCCAACCTTACCGGGTGTCGTCTCAAGCTAAAACTGCTATAGAACGGGAGATCCAGGATATGTTACAGATGCGTGTAATCCGCCCCTCTGGAAGTGCATGGGCATCTCCAGTGGTTCTAGTTCCCAAACCAGATGGGGAAATACGTTTTTGCATGGACTACCGTAAGCTAAATGCTGTAACTCGCCCAGACAACTATCCAATGCCACGCACAGAGGAACTATTAGAGAAACTGGGATGGGCCCAGTTCATCTCTACCTTGGACTTAACCAAGGGGTACTGGCAGGCCTAAACAGAGTGACTTACCTTGGGCACCAGGTGGGTCAAGGAACTACCAGCCCCCTACAGGCCAAAGTGGATGCTATCCAAAAGTGGCCTGTCCCAAAGTCAAAGAAACAGGTTCAATCCTTCTTAGGCTTGGCTGGTTATTACAGACGATTTGTACCGCAATACAGCCAAATCACCGCCCCACTGACAGACCTAACCAAGAAGAAACAGCCAAATGCTGTTCAGCGGACCGAAAAGTGTCAGAAGGCCTTTAACAAGCTTAAAGCGACACTCATGTCTGACCCTGTACTAAGGGCCCCAGACTTTGACAAACCATTCCTAGTAACCACAGATGCGTCCGAGCGTGGTGTGGGAGCAGTTTTAATGCAGAAAGGACCTGATCAAGAATTCCACCCTGTAGTGTTTCTCAGCAAAAAACTGTCTGAGAGGGAAAGCAACTGGTCAGTCACTGAAAAAGAATGTTACGCCATTGTCTACGCTCTGGAAAAGCTACGCCCATATGTTTGGGGACGGAGTTTCCACCTGCAAACCGACCATGCTGCACTGAAGTGGCTTCACACCGTCAAGGAAACTAACAAAAAACTTCTTTGGTGGAGTTTAGCTCTCCAAGATTTTGATTTCGACATCCAACACATCTCAGGAGCTTCTAACAAAGTGGCTGATGCACTCTCCCGTGAAAGTTTCCCAGAATCAACTGGTTAAAATCGTCCTTGAGATGTAGAAAATATTGTTAGTCTTTATGTACTTGGTAGTATATTTAGAGATGCATGTGTCTTATTAACTCTGTTTTTCCTAGAGCTCCAGGAAGAAATCCCAGCCAGTGTTTCACCCTAGCTGGGATTTGGGGGGCGTGTCATAAATATAAAGGGAAGGGTAAACCTCTTTGAAATCCCTCCTGGCCAGGGGAAAGCTCCTCTCACCTGTAAAGGGTTAAGAAGCTAAAGGTAACCTCACTGGCACCTGACCAAAATGACCAATGAGGAGACAAGATACTTTCAAAAGCTGGGAGGAGGGAGAGAAACAAAGGGTCTGTGTGTCTGTTTATATGCTGGTTTCTGCCGGGGATAGACCAGGAATGGAGTCTTAGAACTTTTAGTAAGTAATCTAGCTAGGTATGTGTTAGATTATGATTTCTTTAAATGGCTGAGAAAAGAATTGTGCTGAATAGAATAACTATTTCTGTCTGTGTATCTTTTTTGTAACTTAAGGTTTTGCCTAGAGGCGTTCTCTATGTTTTGAATCTAATTACCCTGTAAGGTATCTACCATCCTGATTTTACAGAGGTGATTTCTTTACTTCTATTTACTTCTATTTCTATTAAAAGTCTTCTTGTAAGAAAACAATGCTTTTTCATTGTTCTCAGATCCAAGGGTCTGGGTCTGTAGTCACCTATGCAAATTGGTGAGTCTTTTTATCCAACATTTCCCAGGAAAGTGGGGGGGGGGTGCAAGTGTTGGGAGGATTGTTCATTGTTCTTAAGATCCAAGGGTCTGGGTCTGTAGTCGAAGGAGCGGAGAGTGACTGAGTTTGTGGATGTTAATGGGTTGTAAATTTCTAGAATATGGAAATATAGTACTTTGATAAAACATGAGTATATGAAAGAACAATTTCAAGAGAAAACAAAAGCAAACATATAAAGGCACATTTTAAAATCTGTTTAACACAGTTTGGCCACTGTGTGCATTCACTAACCAAACTAGAGTATATAATGTGGTTGGGCTACAACTGAGTTTAACAACTATTGTAAAATTGGGCTGCAGAGAAGGCATATTTTACAGTTGCCTGAGTACAAAATGGAGTAATTTCTCATTTTGGCCCAACCAGACTATTTGTGGTGTTTCCTGCTCATTTTTGAAGGTGCTTAGAAAACAACAGAAAATAAAAAGAGAACTTGAAGTGAGCACTAAGTCTCCAATCTGGCAAACACATAAGTACATGAATAACTTTACTCATGGGAGTAGCACCACTAAGGTTTGTGGAATTATCCAAGCATGGTTGCAGAATTAGGCCCTAGGTTTGGAAATTTAGTAAACATATGATTACATTAGTCTTCACCATCAACTCCCATAGATTTTGAAAAATAAAAGACTGCAATAAATCCTCCGATTTAAGAAGACAATATGATGAAACTCCTACTTCTTTATACAAGAGTCATCCAGGAGGTCAATCTTATTCTGCACAAGCACCGTGGGAATGTCTCCAACTTCAGCCACTACTTTCTCCTTCCAGGTGGGGATTGTTTCAAAAGAGTCCCTGTCAGTGGTAGAAAATACAAGCACACAAGCCTGGGCTCCTAAAAACAAAGACAAATTATCAATTAAGAAAGACAAAAATAAAGACAAACCTATAAAAAGATATTTGGGATATGGTGGCTTTTCATTTCATTTCAGAAGGGCAGAGTTTTATTTCTGTATTGTGTCAAAATGATGGTTAGGGAGCCTCAAAGTAAGATTAATAGACTGTCATCTTATTTTGTCATTAATACTGTTCTTCCAGATAGTTGTCATTCTGCTACCTTTCAAGCTACTCCAGCAGGCAGAGAAAGGTGGGGGAGGGGGGGAAGAGATGTGTTTGTCTGTTGCTCATTTTTACTAATATGGGAGGCTTCTCAGATACTACAGTAAGAGCCATATAAGTACCTAGGTAATCTTTAATATCTGTAAAGATACTTCATACTGTAAGTATGCCATCTACTTCTGAGATTGTTACATTTAGATTACAAAAAGAAAAGGAGTACTTGTGGCACCTTAGAGACTAACCAATTTATTTGAGCATGAGCTTTCGTGAGCTACAGCTCACTTCATCAGATGTTTACCGTGGAAACTGCAGCAGACTTTATATACACACAGAGAATATGAAACAATACCTCCTCCCACCCCACTGTCCTGCTGGTAATAGCTTATCTAAAGTGATCAACAGGTGGGCCATTTCCAGCACAAATCCAGGTTCTCACCCTCCAACACAAATTCACTCTCCTGCTGGTGCTAGCCCATCCAAAGTGACAACTCTTTACATAATCAAGTCGGGCTATCCCCCCCCACCCCCATACACACACAAACTCACTCTCCTGCTGGGAGAGTGGTCAGTTTAGATGAGCTATTACCAGCAGGAGAGTGAGTTTGTGTGTGTATGGGGGTGGGGGGGGGATGTGAGAAAACCTGGATCTATGCAGGAAATAGCCCGACTTGATTATGTAAAGAGTTGTCACTTTGGATGGGCTAGCACCAGCAGGAGAGTGAATTTGTGTGGGGGGGTGGAGGGTGAGAAAACCTGGATTTGTGCTGGAAATGGCCCACCTGTTGATCACTTTAGATAAGCTATTACCAGCAGGACAGTGGGGTGGGAGAAGGTATTGTTTCATATTCTCTGTGTGTATATAAAGTCTGCTGCAGTTTCCACGGTAAACATCTGATGAAGTGAGCTGTAGCTCACGAAAGCTCATGCTCAAATAAATTGGTTAGTCTCTAAGGTGCCACAAGTACTCCTTTTCTTTTTTGCGAATACAGACTAACACGGCTGTTCCTCTGAAACCTGTCATTTAGATTACAAATTCATGTGAAAAAATGCTGTAGCAATTTGTTTTTTTGGAGGTTTTTTGCTTGAAAAGTTAAAATTTTCAGGATTCTGTTTTGTTTTATGAACGAATATTTTTCCCAAAGAGCTTTAAAAAAAAGTTAATTTCTAATTCATGCACATTTCCCTCATGTCGTTTGGAAGGAAATGACCAAAATTTTACAACATTTATACACAGTGGCAGCAACTCTTTTGCTATTGTGATGGTACTGCCAGTAGATTGTCAATGGGCTAATGAATGTGTTACTGGTAAAGTGGCTGACAGTCATTACTGAAAATATGAGTCAATGGTCTTTTGATTATCCAGTGGCCCAAAGGCATCAGCAAGCTTGAACACATAGGGAACCTTGAGGATTTATATTCCTTTCAAAACTTCTGTTTAATAGTTACGATTATAATGCTGGATACTTGTTATCCACATAAATATTTAATATTTTTGTGAGTTCTGCTTGGCCTCCAGGATACTCTGTGGCAGATATCTTACTGGGCACTTTGTGGAAAAATATTTCCTTTAATCAATGTGACTCTTCCAAGTTTCAGCTTCATTGAATATCCTTTTGTTATTGTATGAGAGCAAGTAGAATGTCTCAATCTAGTTTTTCTAAACCATTCATTGTGTATACTTTTCTCAGGTCCCTCCTTATTCATTTTCTCACTAAGGTGAAACAGGCACAAATTTTCCAGTCTAATCTTCACCTGAGGATTTTTCCATGACCCTAAATATCCTCATCACCCATCTTCAACACCCCTCTATTTCTGCTATATATCTTTTTTCCTATACAGTGACAAAAACTCCACACAGTATACCAGGTAAGGGCATTCCACTGAGATATATAATGACATTATATTATTTTCCATATTATTCCCTATCCTATTCCTTATGTATCCATCATCTCGTTTGCTTATTTGACCACAGCTACATATTGGGCAGTGGTCTTAATTGAGGTATCCACAGTGATGTCCAGGTCTTTTTCCTGAGCTGATACACTTTTTTGATTCTAAATTATTTCTTTGTGTAGATCAAATTATTCCCTCCAATGTGTCATTACCTTGTATTTGTGAACACTGAATTTCATCTGCCTTGTTGCCCATTCACCTACCTTAGTTAGGGGTCTTTGAAGCTCAGAAATGCTACAGGGCAGGCACCACCTTCTGGAAGCCACATCTTGCTCAGTTTTAACACAGTTACTGTGGCTACAGAAGCCTTTTAAGATATCCCCACATCCAGATTAGACTCCTGGGAGACCCCTGCACCATTTCCTTCTGAATGTTAAGCACAGAGGTGACTTGCAACATGTTTTTGAAGGGAGAATGTGGGAGGGAAGGGTCCTCAAGTGAAGACATGATTTTTCTTTAAGATTGCTGAAATACAGCCTAAAGTTTAACTTGGCATCAGAGTTCACTGAAAACTACAAAAGGCCAGATATAGTCCTTACTCAGGCAAATTCCTATTAATGTCAAAAAGAGCTGGCTGGAATAAAAATTAAGTAGAGACCCTTAGAATTTCTCCCCAAGGTATACAAAATGCTATATAATCCTTATAAAGAAAAGACAGTACAGAGCTGCTCACCAAATACAAAATTACAAGTAGGTAGATATAGATTAACTCCTCACTCACACATCTCAAGGCAGATCATCATCCATTTTGATGCACCTGAACTGGATGGCAAACTGCCATATGACATGACACCAATAACAACAGCCACATAGCAGGATAATGCAGAAAGATGGCTATAGAATCAAACAAGTGTCTACGCCAATGTCTTTCAATTTTTCCACTGAGTGCTATGGCTCACCAGAATTCTTTCTGAAGTCCATTTAAAATCGCTATACACTAAGTACTTTTAGAGTGACTTATTTTTTAAATGAGTGGGATATAGGAGCAAGCTATATTATTTCCACTTTAATTTTTCTTTTTTTATCCATGATAAATTCTGGTGTTAGAAGGACTTGTGTAATTACACATACACAAAAAGGTTCTGACACCAAATCCTCCCTTCTCCCCCCCTCACCTTATCCTTCTGGCTTCAGAAATCTATCCAGCCATTAGACTAATTATGTTCTATCCTATTTAAATGGGAGCTCTGTGAATTTTGCATTCAATGGCACTTAATGAAGTCTGATATACTGCATGTCTGGAAATAAATGCTCAAGAATCTGAAAAGGTTCCCTCCCATTTGAAAAAAAGAGGAATAGTGTGGATAACTGAACTGGTCTTCGCATTGCCGTTAAATATAAAACATCCCTACTACTCAAAAAAGAAAGTTGATTAGGCCAACTGTATTACATTTTTCTCAAGTTACCTATAAAAAATAAAGATCAAGATGTAAAATATAGGGTTTTTTACCTCTATAATAGGCCTTAGTTATTGCATCAAACTCCTCTTGACCTGCTGTGTCCCACAACATCAGCCTGACATCTTCATCATTTACTCTGAAATAAATGGAATAAATATTTCATCAACACACTGAATACAGAGACTCAAGATGAAAGAGACACTCAGAATAAAGCACACATGTATTAAAATATTTCTCTTCTTTATAATGTATTTTGGATGAGAATGGAAAATAAAAATTTATTTTTCATCATTGATACTGTTTACTTTTTTGCACTTCATTCTGCTTGGACAGAGAAAAAAAGGACGAGTCTCGTTAGCATTGCACTAAATCATATGAGCCATAGAGAGACTCAGAGGAGTCCGGTGACACCTTAAAGACTAACAGATTTATTTGGGCATAAGCTTTCGTTGGTAAAAACCCCACTTCAGATGCATGGAGTGCAATAGTGCAATGCTGTTGAGCTCAAATTTCCAATAGTACAGAAAATGTTCAAAGACAAAAAACAGACAAAAATCATGTTTTTTAAAATTCATACTGGGTTTTGTAAATCCGGTGTCAAAAGAAAACCTATGCTCCTGGACAGTGCTCCTTCAACACATTTATTTATTTTATCTACTTAGGTGATCTGTGAACTTATGTTTTTCATTACCTTAATACCTTCCCCTCCTTTAAATATGATTAGATATCATCTGCTTACACTATCAATAGTGTAAGAATCTGAAACAGCTATTTGAAACCATTTCACATACTAAACTCCTGCTTTCATTTTTAACCACATAACTTATAACAAATGTTTCCTTGTATTTAAACAAGGAATGTAAATAAAAATCAGTAGTTCCACATATACAAACAAACCTTCTTAGACAAGTCATCAAGTATGTCTGAAAGGTTGAGTTTTATTTTTTATTTCAAATTATAAATCTTGTATTTGCGTGGAAAACTGAGTGATCCAATTACTGTGCATATGCTTCACTTTTAACTCTCTGAACAAGACGTTAAAACAAAAAATCCCCCAGGCTTTAGTCTGGGAGATGGTTTGAGTTCCAAATCTCCACATGCCTGCTAATCACAACAGCACTAAGAAAATAAAGGCATAAGTTGCATGACATCTGCTGAATACATACTGAATTTGTCTCTCCAGGAAATCTACTCCAATAGTTTTCTTGTAGTCTTTTGTAAAAATTCCTTTGCAATATCTCTGAATCATACTGGACTTCCCAACTGCTCCGTTTCCTACCACCACCACCTTGATGGCCACCTCCATATCCTCCTCCAACATCTCTGCAGCTGAGAACCTCTAGTTACTTCAGGAGCATGAATTTTATCTCCCAAATCTGTAATTGAAGTAAATATTATGTTAATAAAAATATCATAAATAGAAAGAGGTCTTGTAAATAGGCACTGGGCTGGACTCTCAAGATCTGGTTTCAATTTTCAGTTCTTCTACAGACTTCTTGTGTGACTTTGGGAAAATCACTTTGTATCTCTGCGCCTCAGTTCTCCAGCTATAAAATAGGGCTAAAAATTAGTGCTGTAAATTAATCGCAGCTAACTCACGTGATTAATTTTTTTTGAGTTAATCATGATTTAAAAAAATCAAACGCCATTAAATCTCACTGTTAAACAATAGAATACCAATTGAAATGTATTAAATATTTTTGGATTTTTAAAATATTTTCAAATATATTGACTTCTATTACAACACAGAATACAAAGTGTACAGTGCTCACTTTATATTATTATTTTGGATTACAAATATTTGTACTGTAAAAATGATAAAAGAAATTGTATTTTACAATTCACCTCATACAAGTACTGTAGTTCAGTCTCTTTATCATGAAAGTAGAACTTACAAATGTAGATTTTTTTCTGTTACATAACTGCACTAAAAAAAAACACCAATGTGAAACTTTAGAGCCTACAAGTCCACTCAGTCCTGCTTCTTGTTCAGCCAATCGCTAAGATAAACAGGTTTGTTTACATGTATGGGAGATACTGTTACTTGCTGCTTATTTACGTCACCTGAAAGTGAGAAAAGGCATTTGCATAGCACTTTTGTAGCCAACATTGCAAGGTATTTACGTGCTACATATGCTAAATATTCGTATGCCCCTTCATGTTTTGGCCACCATTCCAGAAGACATGTTTCCATGCTGATGATGCTCGTTAAAAAAATAAATACTGTTAATTAACTTTGTGAATTAACTCCTAGGGGAAGAACTGTATGTCTCCTGCTCTGTTTTACCCACATTTCATGTTATAGCAGTCTTGGATGATGACCCAGCACATGTTCGTTTTAAGAACATTTTCACAGCAGATTTCACAAAAAGCAAAGAAGGTACCAATGTGAGATTTCCAAAAATAGCTACAGCACTGGACCCAAGATTTAAGAATCTGAAGTGCCGTCCAAAATCTGAGAGGGACAAGGTGTGGAGCATGCTTTCAAAAGTCTTAAAAGAACAACACTCCAATAAAACAGTCGTTTCCAATTGTGGAAACTACAGAACCCGAACCACCAAAAAAAAAAAATCAACCTTCAGCTGGTGGCATCTGACTCAGATGATGAAAATGAACATGCGTCAGTCCACTCTGCTTCGCTCAAGCAGAACCCATCATCAGCATGGACGAATGTCCTCTGGAATGGTGGTTGAAGCATGAAGAGACATATGAATCTTTAGCGCATCTGGCACATAAATAACTTGCGACGCCAACTACAACAGTGCCATGTGAATGCCTGTTCTCACTTTCAGGTGACTTTGTAAACAAGAAGCAGGAAACATTACAATTTGCAGGAGATAAACTTGTTTTTCTGAGTGATTGGCTGAACAAGAAGTAGGACTGAGTGGAGTTGTAGGCTCTAAAGTTTTACACTGTTTTATTTCTGAATGCAGGGTTTTTTTTGTATATAATTCTACTTTTGTAAGTTCAACTTTCATGATAAAGAGATTGCACTACAGTACTTGTATTAGGTGAAGTGAAAAATACTATTTCTTTTGTTTTTTACAGTGCAAATATTTTAATCAAAAATAAATAGAAAGTGAGCACTTTATACTTTGTATTCTGTGTTATAATTAAAATCAACATATTTGAAAATGTAGAAAATATCCAAAAATATTTAAATAAATGGTATTCTATTATTGTTTAGCAGCGTGATTAATTGTGCAATTAATCATGATTTTTTTAATCACTTGACAACTCTAATAAAAATACTTCTTTTGTTTGTCTTGCTTATTTAGATTGAACTGTTAAGGGCGGGGATGGTTTCTTACTATGTTTGTACAGAGCCCAGTACAACGGGCTCCTATCTCTGTTTGGGTTTCTAAGCACTACCATGATACAAATAATACATAGCCGTAGTAACAACAGGGCAGAGCTGAAAGCACACAGTTTTTACAAAAGATGATAAAAGTTTAGCATTATTTCTATTCTAACATGTACTTTGTGTAAACTCTAAAAATAAGTTATGTTGCTATGTGCCACAAGCTGCTTATGAAGCTAGAGCTACTATTAGTCTTAAGGAACTTTACAAATCTGCTATTTGGCAAATACACAATCTACAATGTATTACCTTATGACAAGGAAGAAATATGCATCCAAAATAAACACAGGCAAATACATGAGTTTTTGGTGTCTTTTGTTCTTACAGTTAGAAACTTAACTGAATTTGTGGTATCCTATTGACAGAATTTCTCCTTGGCAGCCTCAAAGCCAACAGCTGCCTAAAATGAGAGTTTACGGAAAAAAAGATCTTTTGGTCTCAGCAGGCTGTGTAAATGGGGAAACCATATTCTTCTATTATGCAAATACCTGCATTTTGGTTACAAGAGATGTATTTAGCTTATACTCCTCAGATTCCATTTCTAATCGGTATACCAGGCCTGCTACTGCTTCCACTAAACTCATTTAGACTTTTGCCTTTGACCTCAATAAGAACAGGATTAGGACCTAAATTCACACCTATTTCCCCTATCTCTGCTTCTAATACCCACATATGTATCTCATACGGATTCCTCAGGAAATGTTTGACTATACAATTAGTAAGTTTTTGATTCCAAAGCCATGTGCCTTATACTGATTCTTGTTAATCAGTCTGAACAGCAATTCTTTCTCAGGGAATGAACAAATACCACTTTCAGGCAAGTTTAGGCACTGAAATGGTTTACTTATCCTTTGACATGGTAATAAGCACTCACTAAGACTCAAGTTATTTATTATAGTATATTTAAAAATAATATGTGGGATTGTGTTGTCATGTTTGTACAGCAGTTTTATATTAAGCAGAATTTTCTATCAAACAATTTTTATAATGTTATCATGATACTGCACTTACTTCACAATAGCTTCTATGCTTTGTCAATTTTGTATTTTCTTCCTTTAAAATATTAGGGAATTCTGAATTATTTTATATCAAGAAAATAACTGAAGTCAGACTTGAATTTAAAGAATGTCCTCTCCACAAAGTTCAAATCAAAAGTGAAGTGATTAAGGAATAATTACCATGTAAACCCATGTGAAAGTTATTATTTATATTCTGTTAGCACCCACACTGAGCTAGGCATTGCCCACTATACACAGATTGCCCCTCCCTTTAGAAAGTTTTTTAAAAAATCAAGGTAACTTTGGTATGTTACCAAAATAAGCTGCACCACTGCAAAATCAGCTTTGCTCTGGGGCAGCAGCTCTTCATTACGAGTTTACACCAGCATAATGGCAATGATGCAAATTTCCATAACTGTGAACAGGACCAAATTACTAGTGTAAATGGGCAAAGCTCACAGACAGATTTTTAGTAACGTGCAGCTCTTGCATGAACTAAATTTCTAATGTGAAAGCACAGAAAAATTTAAAGTTAAACATGTTCTGAACATGCTTCATTCTGAGGTGGCAACGAGTACTTCACAAACACTTGAAATTAGCAGTGGGTGGTGATGAACAAATCTGAATTTACACCCATAAAATGCAAAGTCTCCTATGAGTAATGAAAGCACTGCTTATTGCAGTATTTGGATATTATAAAATGAATAACTAGCATTTCTATAATATTAAGTACCTTTTGTGAGATAAGTATTTCCCCATTTTTAAAGAAGGGAAAATAGAGTGATAAAGGGACTTGTCCAAGACCACACACTGGCAGAGCTGGAATGCCTGATCCCTTCCCCTTTTCTCATCCATGTAAGCAGTGGTGCCACAAGGATTGCAAAAGTCTGGGGGCCAAACTTGACCTGGCTGCCCCCCATCATGACCATAAGGCAGCTTGGCCAAATTTCAGTGAGTGGTATGGTGACCCGGTGCACAGGTTTGCAACGCCACTCAAAACTGGCCCAGCGCCCGCCCCCTTGACATGGCAGAAAGGTGGCCAGGCCAAGGGAAAGTGTCAGTTGTTACACCACCCAGCTCTGGTCAGGGGCTAAGGGACAGGGGCAGGACCCCTGGCCTCCACCCCATTGTGCTGCTTCTGAGTTCAGGTTCTCAAAATAGGGGGCATGCCCCACATCTAAAAAGTGTGAAGAGATGGCTCTTTAGTTCTTCCATCTCCAGCACCCCTGCATGTAAGCAGTATTTAAGTACCACTATACTATCTCTTACTGTAGTAAATATAGTTATGACACATATATACATTTTTAGGGAATAATCACAAAGAATAACTAAAATTCCAAGTAAATTGAAGACATTGGAAGCTGTCTTGTCATTTTCAGTCACTGCTTATACTCTATACAGAAAGACATTTATCTGGGAGAACTATCAAGGTATCTGCACAAACAAAACTGTAGCGTCCAAACGCTTGTACTATTGGATTTCTAAAGGATGCTTAGGCTGGTCCCAAGTGTAACTGTGATAAATCCTACGCTTCCCCATTGCAGCAATACCGCTATTACGGGAACAGGATGATCGCAGCCGGTCTAATACATGCGGTCTCCTTAACCCCTCCCTATGTTGTTCTTTTCAGGGCATTTCCACACTCACTTGCTCCCCTTCCCTAGGTAAATCAAGCACCCCACACAAGCCACTTTCGTTCCCTACCGAGTCCAGGGCAAGCCAGCCAGCGTACACCACGCCGCGCCCCGTCCGCCCAAACTGCATGGCAGGCAGGGCCCTGCCCATCAGGCACAGTGCGACCCCACGGCGACCAGCGCCCATCCCCACCGCCGTGTAGCATCCTCCCAGAGCAGGGCAACCCGACCCCGCGGGGGCTGCCTGCCAACCCCACAGGCGGCAGCAACAGCACCCCCACCACCTCCACCCAGGAGTTACCAAGCCGTGCGCGCCCAGTCCGCTTCTCCTCCACCTACTCCCGTCCCATCCCCGCCCCGACCCCGCACCCGAGAGCGTCACCCCGCTCCTCCGCACCCGGCTCCGCGCTCCCCACGGCATCCCAGCGGGCCCGACCCCGCTCCCCCGAACCCGGCTCCCCGCATCCCAGCCCCGCTCTCCCCCTCAAATCCAGCCCCGACCGCGCTCCCCCGAACCCGGCTCCCCGCATCCCAGCCCCGCTCTCCCCCTCAAATCCAGCCCCGACCGCGCTCCCCCGAACCCGCTCCCCCATCCCAGCCCCCCGCTCCCCCCCCCAAATCCCCCCCCCCCCCCCCCCCCCGAACCCGGCTCCCCGCATCCCAGCCCCGCTCTCCCCCTCAAATCCAGCCCCGACCGCGCTCCCCCGAACCCGGCTCCCCGCATCCCAGCCCCGCTCTCCCCCTCAAATCCAGCCCCGACCCCGCTCCCCCGAACCCGGCTCCCCGCATCCCAGCCCCGCTCTCCCCCTCAAATCCAGCCCCGACCCCGCTCCACCCCCCCGCACCCCCCCCGCTCCCCGAACCCGCCCCCCGAACCCGCGCTCCCCGCCGCTCCCCCATCCCAGCCCCGCTCTCCCCCTCAAATCCAGCCCCGACCCCGCTCCCCCAAACCCGGCTCCGCGCCCCTCCGGTGCTGCACCCCAGCCGCGCCCCCCGCCCCCGTGGCTCACCGACCCGCTCGGAGGCGCTGGCCGTGGGAAGCGGGGGGGCCGCTGCAGGCTGAGCAGCTGCGGCTCCGTCTCCGAGACCCGGAGGCGGGAGGAAGCCGCGCAGCGGAGGCAACCCAACCCGGACGCACATCCCGGCTCCCGCACCCGGAAACACCGTCAGGGCCGCGGGCTCGGCGCGGAGGGGTCCCCGCTCCGTTGCCTCCGCCTGCCGGAGCGTCTTCGTCCAGCGGCGGCGGCGGCCCCTGCGGCCTCTCCGCAGGGAGTAAAGTGGAGCAGGGCCCCTGGGCTTCCCTCGCTGTGGTCAGCCCCTGAGGTGGACCTGGGTTGTGGCTCCGGAGGAGGTTGGCTCCAGGGTTCTGGTGCAGGCCCGTTATATAAACTAGAACCGGCTGTGGAGTGTGGCATTAAACTACAACAGCCCCTAAAGTAATGGAGGAGAGTAGGTGGGCGGGCGCTGCTCACAGCTGGGTATTTGGGGCATGGAGAGAGCTGATCAGAATGCTTGAAAACTCTCCCAAAGGTAGATGAATCCTCCCCAAATGCCAGAGGTAGAGTCAGAGTGAGCCCTGCCTAATCCCCAGTCTAGTGGTCTCCCGACTCTACCTCACCATCCAAAAGAGTGAGACGGTACAGGTGGACTGGACTGGCTTGCATGGGGTTGCACTCACTAGACTGTGCCTTGAATTAATGGATTATCATGGAAGATTAGGGTTGGAAGAGACCTCAGGAGGTCATCTAGTCCATCCAACCTCCTGCTCAAAGCAGGACCAACTAAATCATCCCAGCCAGGGCTCTGTCAAGCCAGGCCTTAAAAACCTCCAAGGAGGGCGATTCCACCACCTCCCTAGGTAACCAATTCCAGTGCTTCACCACCCTCCTAGTTAAATAGTGGATCCTAATATCCAACCTAGATCTCCCACACTGCAACTTGAGACCATTGCTCCTTGTTCTGTCATCTGCCAGCACTGAAAACAGCTGAGCTCCATCCTCTTATCAGTGAACACAAGGCACCTAATGCGTTTGTAGAGGCTAATCTGGACACTGAGACTCCTTCCTTCTAGGCTTCACATGTGTGAAATGTAAGGACCAGTCTAGGGCCCCTCAAAAGTCTAGTAGATATAAACCCTGTGATGCTTTCTGGCTCCAGAGTAAACAATATGGAGAATCATATTGAACCCGCTCACTCTCATGACCCTTAAAAAATACCAGACAAGGGGAGAGAAACTGTTTTATGACTAAAATCTCAAATGTGCTAATTTCTGAACATAGAGACAAGTGAAGAATTGTGTTGTTATGCTATTAAAATGTGTGATTATCCACATTGTTTGGTGTGTGACCCTCAGCCTTATTTGCACACTATTCAAACCCTGCTTTGAAATCACAATGATTAATTTCTTTATGTTTTTTATGGTGCTCATTACTGTAGGATTGCAGTGCTGTACAGATACAAATGAATCTATTTTCACAACACATGAAGTAAGGTGGTATTATTATGCCACTTTTACAGATGGGGAACCGAAGTACAGAGAGATTAAAGTCAAGAGTCTGTTAATGTTGGGTGCCCAATTTGAGATAGCTAGGGCCTGAGTTTTCAGACTATATGTTATATAGCACTTATTATGTAAAGAACAACACTCCCATTGTGATTCCAATTGTCATGGTTAGTTCTCAGCACAACATTTTGATTAAAACACTAGAACAATATAAAATTAACATGGCACACACTAAATTGATTAAAAACTGACTGATAGGTCTCCAAATGTAATTGTTAATGGGGAATTTTCATTGAGTGGGTGTGTTTTCGGTGCTGTCCTGCAGGGATTGGTTCTTGGCCTTTCGCTAATTAACATTTTTATCAATCACCTGGAAGAAAACATAAAATCATCACTGATAAAGTTTGCAGATGATACAAAAATAGGGGAAGTGGTAAATATGAAGAGGACACATCACTGATTGAGAGCAGTCTAGATAGTTTGGTGAATGGGGCACAAGTAAACAATCTGTGTTTGAATATGACTAAATGTAACTATATATATCTAGGAACAAAGAAAGAAGGCCGTACTTACTGTAAAGGGGAGATTATCCTGGGAAGCAGTGACTGAAAAAGATTTGGGGATTGTGGTAGATAATCAACTAAACATGAGCTCCCACTGGTAAGCTGTGACAAAAAGAGCTAATGCAGTCTTGAGATGCACAAACAGGAGAATCTTGAGTAGGAGTAGTACGCTACACAGTTATGTCAACATAATTTGACTTGTTTCAACTTAGTTTTGCATGCATCCACATCTAAATTTGTCTCCTACTGACATAGGTACCCTGTTACACCAACACAATAACACCACTTCCCCAAACAAGTAGGCCAAAGTCACCCATGACAGTAGTACTAATGTAGACATTACATTACACTACATTATCTGTGTTGACTCTAACAGTCCTCTAGCAGCTGTCCCACAATGGCTCATCTCCATGACAGTGGCTACTCTGATCACACTTTCTAACTCCATTGCCTAGGGTGGAGTCACATATACCAGAAGTCCCCTTCTCCCCTTTAAAAATCTCAAGGAGCTTTGGAAATGCCTTTTCCTGGTTGCCCACCTTGGCAAGCATCCAGCCATGCTGACTCATTGCACAAAGAGAGTTCCACCTAGACCTTCCACCTGGATCTCCTTGGCCTGTGGGGAAAGAGGCTGTGCAAACCCAACTATGGAGCAACAGAAGGAATATAGATATGTACACACATATTGTGCAAGGGATGTGTGATGTTTCATTCCATATTCTTTATGAAAATATGCTTATAAAATGAATATAACATAACTGAAATATACTTTATGCAAGATGTCTCATGTGAGATATCATTGGAAAGGTTAGGATTTACTGAATGTGATTATCCAATTTGTATGCCTGTATCATATCTGTATCTGACGTTAGGAATATTAACTATGTATCTGTATTTCAAAAATGTTACTTCGGGTGTCACCCCAACCAACTCTTCAGGTACAACAATGGAAAGGCCAGACAGTGCTAATGGGCCATTAGAAGAGACAGTGGACTGTAAAAGTGCTTAGTCTTCCTCCAGACAGCCTACAAGTAATGGCTGCCACAGCCCTGCAGAGACATGGGTCTGAGTCACCCGGTACTGGACTTACCCTTTGGAATGCCAGTGTTCTTCCACTGGGAGACAAAGGGTTCCCGCCTTACACAAGTGTTATATAAAGCTGGGGAGTGACATCTTCATGGTTCTCTCCTCTAACTCCCCACCCAAAGAGATACTGAAACACACCTAGAAGCAAAAACTGAACTGGGGGGGAGAATGGTTGAGCCCAAGCTGGAAGGGCGTCTAGCTTGTGAGTAATAATACCTGAGGTCTTAAACTGGAGACCAGTGCAGCTGCCTTTTCAAGAATTTCTGTAATCTACCTGCTACAATATCAGGGTGAGAAATTACTATTTGTAACCAATTTCTTTAGTGAAACAAACTTAGTATGCATGTTTGTTTTTATTTGCTTAGTAATCTGCTTTGTTCTGTTTGCTATCTCTTTAACCACTTAAAATCCACCTTTTGTAGTTAATATACTTATTTCTTGTTTATAATATAACCCAGTTTATGTAATTTCTAATGGGGGGGAGGGCAAGAAGTCATGCACATCTCTTTTCACATTGAGGAAGAGGGCAAATTTTTATGAGCTTGCACTGTGCAGATTTTTCAATACAGCGCAAGACGGTATTATTTTGGGTTTATCTCCCAAAAGCGGTGTGCACGTGAGTGCTGGGGGAGTCCTCTCATACAGAGCTGGCTTCAGTCTCTGTCTGCAGCGGGGTGTGGCCCTACCTTTATGTGTGTGCTGCAAGAGCCTGGAGAGCCTAATTCAGCAAAGCAGGGAAAGGGAACCCAGGCTGGTTGAGCGGGAGAGGCTCAGTGAAATCCTAGTACATCAGGTGGCATCCCAGAAGGGGGGTCCAACCCGTCACAGGATGCTAAGCCTGGGGCACAAGAGAGATGAGCAGCAAAGCCAAGTGAAAGCCAAGGGACTTTGGCAGGCATATCAGAAGGCAAGGGAGGACAACAAGAAATATGGGGCTGCCCCACAGACCTGCTGCCTCTACAGAGAAATATGCCAAGCATGCCATACTTGGTGGAGACCCCACCAGCACCCCAAATATGACTGTGAACTCTTTGTGAGAGCTGGGTGTGGAAACCCCTGCTGTGCAAAGCAAAGAGGAAGATGGGGTAGGGAATGCAGAGGGGGATGCAATCCTGGAGCTTTTTGAAACTTCACTGGAATTGAGCAAGTCCTACCAGGTGAGTGCTATATGAGTCTGGTGATGAAAGGGAAAGAAGCTAAAGTAAGTGTATTGATGCATTATCTATATAATATATATAAAATAAGGTTCCAGGATTGTCACTGTCTGTGTGTCACTCTGAAGCCTAGAATGTCTGCTGAGCCAGTGTGAAGCAATGGAAACTGCTGCAAGCATGGTTGAGAGCTCTTTTTGTTTAGAATACCACTAAATTCAATCATCACTGAGATTCATGGCCTTTTACTGTCCAATTTTTACATTCTCAACCATTTTGACTTTATGAATTACACCCTGTGAGAGCATGGGCTTTCCTCTATAGGCATGTATCTGTACCATGCCAAGAGTCTACAATCATTATGATATCAGAGGTAATTCAACCAATCACCACCCTTACTCCACAGGAAATTTGCATGCAACAGTTTTATTGATTGTAGTGTTACTTAGGGTTTTTCTGAACCCAAAGCTTTGGGTAACTTTACTTGTTGCAAGGCGCTGTCAGGGAATAAATCAATGGGGACACAGCACATCAGTCTGAAACGTGATTGATATAAACAACACAAACAAGAGGGCTTTCACTTAAAGCTTCTACTTTATTTAGTCTCAAGCACATACAAATGCAATAGGTTATTGAGAACCCCAAATCAATAGTTATCCCAAAGGTCTGGAGTGGTCAGCGACAGCCTTCTGGTGTCCAGCCTTCCATCTGCGGCTGGGAACCTTAAGATGGATTCACAGCAAAGTCTGCTTGACCTCTTTCTCCTTTTTACGCTCAAAGCGTCACATTGCTTGTCAATCACCAATAACCATGGAGCAAACACAAACTGTTAAGAAGTTTCAAGCTGTTATACAGATGTGTTTTTGCAGAGTCTACGGTCTCATGGGCCCTAACAAACACACACCAGAAGTCAAATGTAGATAGACTTCCTGTCTTTC